TTCCTCATCAAGAGGTTAAGGAATCAGACAGCCATTTCATTACCCTATCTGGCTGAATAAATCTTGGTACTCCTTTATAGAAACAGACCACAGGAGGCACTTTTTTTTTAGGTTGTTACAATCAAAAACTTAAAAGCTGTAGCAAAGTACATGGAATCTTTTTCTGATTCAAGAAACAGCTTTCTTTTAACAGGTCTTTGTCACGGCTCAGCATCTACAAATAAACTGAACATCTTCCACTTAAGTAATGCTTTGGACTCTCATCACCCATCCAAGGAACATCTTAGAACACAGGTCCTGCTTGACTCCATACAACTTCTACTGAGAGAGAGGCCCTGCTCCTGTGACAAGAAAAATGGTGTAAATTGATCATAAAACAAGCATAAGTGACAAAGTAACATAATTTCTATTGATTTCCTTTCAAAAGTGTGATGCAGCTGTGAAATCGTTACACTTTTATATGGTGCACCTAACAGCACAGCAACTATCTTTGCTTACCATGGAAGTGAGCGACTGAAAGCAGCTACCACTTGCCTTTCTCTCTAGGCATAAGGAAAGAGAAGCTCTGAGCAGCAGTCTGAAAGTCAAGGGTCCAGGCTGAAGGGCCAGGACGTTTGGCAAAGTCTACTGGCAAAATCTATCGTCTTAACTCGTCAATCACAGTACTACACTATGGTGGGATTTCCAGCAGGAGCTGTAGTCAGACATATTGCCATTCACTGCTCATAGAAATGTGATTTATGAATATTTTCTCCCTTGTGCTACAGCCTGCACTGAGTTGTCAAAAGATAAGGGCAACCAAGAAAATAAATGAGGGTAAAACATAAATCAGCCCCTGACCTGAACACATCAGTATTCTTCCTCCCAATACTTCAAGGACTGCAAGAAGCTCTGACGTGAAATTTCAGATCCTACAGGCAACATTAAAAATGGTTCCAGATACTTCACATTTTATACTGCTGTTGACAGCCTCAGTGTTTTTTACATCATGATCTAGAGTGCAACGTCCATTTCAGCAGTACTGGTTAAATACCTGCAGCCAACCATTGCCATCTACCCAGCACAGAAGCTTACGTCAGCCTGTTCAGACACTAGAACAAAACTAAAACTGTGAAGGCCAAAGAGTACACATAGGCCAGTAGTAGAAAGCTGTTACTTTACCAAATAATTCTCAGTTTTTCCTATGCCTCATTTTAGAGCCAAACAGCAGAAGTGACAGATTATAAGCTATTGCCCTTTTATTAATACCAGTTTTCCACCCATGAGACAGCTTTGAACATCATTCTACAGCTATTAAAAGAATTGCTTCTACTACCTACACCTTGATAACTACAAGGATATTGGCATCCTTTCATTTTGCTAATGTAACAGCAGCAAAATACTTGATTCCTAAGAGGAACGTTCAAGAAGCTCTTTAACGTTCTGGACAATAAGGAGAAAGGCTGCAGCATGGACCTGACATACACCGGCTGTGACAGCTTCTGTCATGACGCACTGGCAGCATTCACGCATGATAGTTCAGAGTTCACAGTGCAGTACAGCCGGCTTTGTAACGTGACCTGCATGTGGCTGCAAGATTTTTCAATGGTTAGCAATAAAAAAGTATTTGCCATGACAGGAAACCAGCTGAGATGTCATACAGAAAAATCAGGAAAAGTAGAATGTATTTGTTAGCTCTTCATCCAAGGAACAATTTGCAGAAGAGAAAGCTTGCAAATGACTTCGGCCTTGACACTTAGAAGTGAAACACATTTTCTTCAGTGTTACATACCCTAAATTCATCTTCAAATACATTGTCTGAAGTATGCTACTACAGTAATAGGAATCAATTTCAAGAAAGCTTAGTATTTCAGCTTCCTTAAAGGATAGGCAGTTGCCTCTTCCTCAACATTATGCACATTTTTCTTCAGGACAGCTTAACAATTTTTACATCTTGAAGGCGGGGGCAAGTCTTCTCTCTGTTTTCTGAGCTGTGAAGACTCACTATGACAGAACAAAATAAAACCTGCTCTAATGGCATGGCCATTAGGAAGGCCATGTCCTAGGAAGTAGTACAGATGGGGAATGTTTCCTTTTCTTTTTAGCACTGTTCTTATTAAAAGCACGTTAGTAGCAAACTGGAAAAACCAAGAGCTGCTGTACGCTTAAGAGTCGATGCACAGTGAAAGAACACTAACAGTAATTAACAGTCCCACCTTCATCCTCAGACTATCCTTTTGCATTTAAAATTGTGCTGTGATTGAAATATAGAATTCACTATTGCAATATTTTGTCTCTAATTGCTAGCTTATCAGATAAAGTGGCCTCAGAAAGAAGAACAAAACCCATTATTAAATCCTTAAAAACTGCTGAAGAGGAAATAACTCTGCAGGTGCTAGGGTTCTGATGGAGAATAGATGTCATGTAACAAATATAGCCATCCGTAACAGCTCCAGTAAGATGCTGCTGGAACTTTGCCTTTAATCTACTTCTAAGCCCCACATCTCAAACATTTTAATGCAATCCACAAGGAGCTATTCTAAATTAAATTGTTTTGACAGCCAATTTGGGAAATGCCTTGTAATTCAAAGTCAAGAGAAATTAATATATGCATGAGGTAAGGTAGAAGGGGTAGACTGGTTCATGACATGCCAACTAAACTACACAGGCAAGTAGCTAAGCAGTCAGTCCCACAACTACAGGGTACAGGAGTCTATTAGAATTTGAGAGAATCTCCTAGGGCTGGTTTGACATGACCAAACACCAGTGTCCATCTTCCCCATTTTAAGAATGGTAGAAAGAAAAGATGCTTCCCTTAAAGGGACAACAGATCTAGAAAAAGGAACATATGGATCAGATGTAAGGAGCAAGAGCTCTAGGGACATAACTGACACGGTGAGAAAGTGCTGGCAGCTTTTTATTTATTTATTTATTTTTACAAGATACTAGTTTCACGTAATTGAACCAACTCTCAACCTACATTTGTTTGGGGCTACAAGTGGAAAAAGCTAGTTATCCTTTGAGTGAAGCCTTTAAGACAAGAGGGTTTTGCTGTATTTGCAATAAAGCAGGAAGGAGCCTTACCTGTTTGAACTGTGCCCAGGTGAACGCACGCTTGACCACCCTGATAAGCTCTTACTGATGCACTGTTCAAAATCATTGTATTTTCAGAAATCTTTCATTTTAAGTAAATGACCTGGCTTCCTCAGACTTGAAGAACTTAACACGGCAAAGAGAGAGGGTTTTATTTCCCTGTCCCTCCCAGCCAAGAACAGCTTGTATGCATTCATACCCACAGCTAAATTTCACCTTAAAACTGAATCGTATAAGAGAAAATATTTCCTAAAGCTCAGAAAATCCCAGCAACAAAAGAATGAACTCATTGCTGACCACTGCTCAAAACAAAAGTTGCATGTCCTGTAGTAATTTGTCTAGTGAAAACTTCAGGCTCTGTATAAAAATCTGACTAGCAAAATCGCATTCTACATACAAAAGAACTGCCTGAGTAGTCTTTACAAATATTTAGTCCGATATTCAAAACCACAAGTAGCTACTTTTTGGGAAGAAGTGCTTGGAAAACCTTTTTGCTCAGAATCTTAAAAACATTATTTTATACTCCCAAATGTTCATGTCCTGGGTCTAAGCCTTACACATCAGATTTCAGATGAAAGATTTTAAAAAAAAAAAAAAAGATAACTCCTTAAAAATTTGGATTTGGGAACAGAAGTGGCAACCAGCTCCTTCATGTAATAATGCCACTCCAGGAGAAGACCTGGCTGAATTCGTCCAAGAGATTATACATATGTTTGACCCCGACATCCATCCATCGTACCTCCCATCCCTTCTCTTTTTCAGTCTGAAGTCTCCTTTTGTTTCATATCTTTGAATAAGTTGCACCATTTCTTGAGCATGAATCACTGACTAAAACATTCAATTTGAAGCACTACAAAGACCATACACACCTGTGGATGTACACACTACTTACCATAGCTACTGATCCAAAAGCTATCATTTTGGAATCGCTTCGAAGTTATTTCCTTGAGCTGGCCAGTACAGAGTTGCTTCCAAAAAAAACTCTCACAAAGATCTTCCAATACTTTGAGTGTGTAATCCTTAGGCCATACCTCCACAATTGAGAATAAAGAAAGAGGAATCAAACAATAAACAGATTTCTCTATAGCTCTATAGTGTTTTCTAGTGCACATTCAGCAAGTTAATTCAGAGATGGTGCAAAAAAGTACTTATCTTTGGGCTCATAGCATATTGCCTTGGGCAAATGCACCAAAAGCAACACTTACCACAATTCAAGGCACATTCTTAATTTTTCATTAGTGGCTTTAGCAACTGAAAAATTGCTGGACACATCTTGCCTGCAAGGGATCACTAGGATTTTTTTTCAGTTGTATCTGATGAAAATAAATAGATTGGACTCAACTTGTTTATGTATGAGAAACCTGCTGACTCAACAGCGTGCCCCTTTTTTCGGAATTACTCTTAAAAACATAATGAAAGCAACATGGCATAGAATATGTGCCATTGCTAATTGGTGACCAGCTGTCATGTAAAAATGTCTTTGCTCTGAGGGGAGTAACAGGCAGCGAAACTACCCTCTCTATATATAGATTTCTCTATAATGGTCATAATAATAGGTCACCAACTTGGAGGATGGGTTTTTTTTTTTTTCCTCAAAATGAATATTAAAAAAGAGTATCCAATTATACAAGTTCATTCTAGGAGAAAGGCTAATTGTTTTTTTTTTTTTTTTTTTTTTTTTTTTTTTTTTTTTTTTTACAGAGCAGGAGCTCAATCCCTTTCAATTTCTTTGTATAATTCTTGCCTTAAAAATAGAACTGGGATTTGGCCAGAGAGAGAAGAAATCAGAAATTCCAAGACACACAGCATCAAAATCTGCTAAGAAGATCTGCAATGAAGTCTTACTTCATTGGTAACATTACTGTCAGGGAGGGTTGCTAAGTGAATCAAGGTACACGCTGAAATACACAAGATTTATAGAGAAAGTTTATTTTATTTTATTGGTTTACAGACCACACCTACTTTTTAATTAAAAAAAGTGCTCTTTATCAACTTAAAAATTTAGCAGAGTCAAATATTTAAGTATAACATACATATCTGAAAACTTCTCAGCAACAGTCTCATTCACCTCTCTTACTTGGAGCACTGCCTTTTGCATATTATATTTTAGCAGACATAACTGCAAATATTACACTACATATGTGCTGCACTGAGAGGTCCTGATATTCAACCACATTAACACAAGGCTTTCCCATGGTCCAGAAGAGCAAGGATTTGGTGAGATTTTGAGTGAGATTGAAAAAGGAAAACACCAGGTTTTACATGAGTGCTTGAGGGAGAAAAACAGAAAGACATATTGAAATAAAGTTGCGAATTACTGCTTTGCTAATATATTTGACCAAACTTTTACCTTCACTTAGTACTTCTTTCTATTTGCTTTAGTACTGATCTACTAGAGTAGTACTATGAGAAGCGCAGCTCCTTCTGAAGACATGGTTTATAGGTTTATCATCAAGAGAATAATGGTAGGGCTGAAGAACTGTCCATACAAGTTACCACTGGCCTGTAACTCAATTGAGAGGATTTTGCTTACCCTTTAACACATAGTTCCAATTCGTTTGTACATAAAAGATGTCTAGAACTTGTAGCAACTAAATCACAGCACATCAGGCTTTGAATATATGACAACGTAAGCAAGATGACTGATCGTTTATGTCATTTTGCATCCTGCTGTGCGGAATAAGGATTTTCTTTTTCTTTAAATAAGAGGCATTCTCATTTGAATATAGTCACTGCAGAATATTACAGACCTGTGCAGTGAGGAACACTTGCTCTGAATTTTTAACAGTATTTAAAGCTTGCTATTTTGCTGAAACTGAGATACCAAAGAAAGAACTTGCTCTGATGCTTTGATTTGTTTTGTCCCTAGGTATGCTGCACTGTTACTGGCTGTATCCTCTAAGAAATACCGGTAGTTTACCATCATGCCACAAGAAGCACCAATGCCCCTGGGGCTTGTATCCGCCATCCAGTTTATCCGCCACATCACAGCGCCATTCTGAAGATGAAAATTTGCTACTGGATTGAGAGCATAGCCACGATGTTTCTCTCCATACAAATACCAGGCACAGAGTCTCATAAATGGCAAATGGAGCACTTGGACCAATTTTTCTGATCTCACCCATTCATTGTTAGTTAAGAGCTTCTTCAGCGTCTCAGTGGTAGGGCCTCCTGTGATCTCAGAGATTTCTTGGCATTCTGATTCTGTAAACAGTTCATTTCTTTCCAGTTCTTTTGTTTGTGAGGAGAGGAGACCAACAAGCCATTTTGTGAATCCTGGGATAGGTGAAAGACTAGAAAAATCTTTTATCTGAGGAAGTTCTTTCTGTAGACAAAAGAAAAAAAAATTCATGAGTTTTGTCATGATTGACAATGCAAAGTCCGAGCGAAAGAACAGCTGATACCCTTTACTTGATGTCAAGTGAAGACAAGGAATTCTGAGAAGAGAATTAACTGATACGCATAGATGAGGGAAAAAATAATTCACCCCACCAGTAACAGGTTAGTGTCTAAAAAGCACTTGGAGCATTGAGAAATTTTGACAGTAACGGAACTACAGTCCACACCTACCATCTATTTAAAGCAATTTATATAGTGCCTTTCAACACTGCATTCTGATATGTTCTGTTATAGACAGACATCAACAAATGCAATCATGTGCCACAGGAAAGTTATTCAGAGGGATAAGGTTAAATAAAAAAAATCAGCATGTAGCTTTTCACAACCTTTTTAATGTCATTTATTTTACCTATGCAAATATCTTCTTTTGAATCAAGGAAAGCTTATGATTTGTCTACTGCAAACTCAGAAGAGACCTCCTTCTTTTGTATGATTTATCTAAACAGTGCATTGTGTAGATTTTTAGGGAAAAAGTATTTCCCGAAGTTTGGAAAGAGGTTCTTTATCCAGATCAGCTACTATTCATGCTACTCACAAAGTACAAATTTACGAGTAAAAACTATTAATTATGTAATCATGTACAGCAAAACATACATTAGTAAAACCGCACGCTAGTTTTGGGCACAGAAAAATAAAAAATTAGCAAAGAAAACTGATATCAAAGTCAATCCCACTGAAAAAGGAGGGGGGCGAGAAGCAGAAGGAAGATAGACAAAATGGAATAATCACAGTGCTGTTTTAATTACTGATCCTACAGAAAGAAGCAGTGGTAAGAACAGAGACAATTATCCACATTAAGGAAGTGTCTTAATGACAACAGAAAATTGTCTTTAAATGACTACAAAACATGTTTTTTCTATTTTGAACATTTCCTAGATAATCATTAAAAAATCATCATCATCACTCAGGGGCTACCTTACAATTGCAAATGCTAACGGCATGCGTGCTGCTAAGGTGTCTGAACTGTACACGCGCTGCTTGCATCATCAGGTACCGCTGTGCTCTGCACAACAGTGCTGTCTACACTCTCTATCATGAGGACACAGAAGCCAGGGAAAGCAGGACTGACACGCCTCTATTACAAATTGGAGCACTAAGCCATGCAACATTTGCTAATAACTTAGAAACATAATTGGATGAATATTCAACTGATCGTTTATATCTCCTTTCTGCTTCCCACACTGAGCTTCCCAAATAGCTTACTGCTGTTCTGCTGGCTTCTGGCCCTATGGTATAACCAGCCAGCTCAAATCGACCACTTCTTCAGTTCTATGACTTATAACTGCATAAACTAGCTAATCTCACCAGCTCCACTTAACTGACATTCTCTCAACATTACATGGCTATTACATGGATATGTAAGCCAAAGAATTCTGCTTTCAGGCAAGACAGGAACAAGAAAGGCAGACAAAAATTATAAACATACCCCAGATTTCCTCCCTCTGGGGAACTGGATGAAGCAAAAAGCAAATAGTATCATAAAGACACTCACTTCTATATCATATTGAACAAAATGACCATTTCTATAATCAGAGAGCCCATGAGATCCCGATCAGGTCATCTCCTCAACCAGTATGGCTGCCACGTTCAGACTACACCACCCGTGATCTCCTCATTGATCTCCTGTTGACTTTTTCAAGTCTCCACTAAAGGACATTAAGATATTTTATTTGTAATAGTAATTCTGGAGCATGTTACTGTAACAAGATCTGTGAAGTATAACTATCAAATTGCATGGAATATACATTTCATAAAAGAAAAAATGCTCTTTGGAATCTGTGGAAAGAGATTTCTATGGAAGGTAACTTCTGACAATATCTCAGCACTGATTTATACAAATTTGAAGACTGTGCTTACAAAAAAAAGTTTATTAGGGTTGTGTCCCTGCAGCAGACCATGGCCAGAATATATAAAAATGAGGGCATGAATATATAAAATCATTTTTATTCAGAGATTTTTTTTTTTGAGTAGACAGTTCAACCATTTTAGAAAAGTTTCCCCTCTGCTTTTGGGGGACAAGGGAGAAGGCAATGACTTCCCTACTACACGCGTGTGTGTATGTATGTATGTGTATATATATATTTGGGACATGGGAATGGTTAAAAATAAGAAGAAGAGAACAGAACAAAGCAACCCTATATACTTTAAAAATCGTTCTCTTCCCACCACCCCCACCCCTTGGATGTTCCCCAAGGATATCAACACTATTTAATCCACAAATGAGTTCAAAATAACTTTTGCAAATTTCAATACAGAATCAAATGTACTCACTAAATCTTCCTTTGATCACCTTTCATCTGGCTCCTCGTAATGTTTTTCAATCAAGGAGTATGCCTAGTCATCAAATTTGGAATTCACTTTTTTTTTTTTTTATAGCAGCAGGATCTTAATTAGTATGAGTGATAAAGCAGATTTACTCTTAGATGACCCCTTGCCAGCTACAGTTTTTTCTGGATGTCACAGACACCACAGACTAGCAAATTTTAACCTGGGACAACGCTAGCTCCCACCAAAGACACTACTCTAACACTAGTAGCACAAAAACACAGATCTGGAAAAGGCAGAAAGATGGCCTGCAAGTGAGTTTTTAAAGGCTACTGGAAAAATACTTGGAGATATCTGTCTCTGGAGAAACAGGCCAATAGCTTTCAGTTTTGTCAAGACAATGAGCAGCATCACTCGCTGCTTTCCCTTCTCTCTCAGTACCCTGAAAGCCAACCTGTGGTGACTCTGCAGTGACTCGCCTGTAACTTTGCTGCTGAGACATTCTGCTGTCAAGTAACTTGACCTTTTGCATGCCAGCTCTTACCAAGGCTGCACAAATCTCTACCCAGAAGGGAGGGTCACAACTCCCTTCTAAAGACTCAGTGACCAAGGACCCTTCTGCTTGTCCACACAGTAATGATGGATGACAACACAGCAACTGTCCAGGATGTGACAGACCTGCAGATGAACTGTAAGGCATGGGAATGCAAACCAGTAACCTGTAATGACAACTACCCTTTTCAGGTCAGCATCCTTAAATAGCAGCAAGCTCCTGTTCAAAAGATTGGATTTTAAAATGGGGGTTCATTTTTCTACATCTTCATTTTCTAATATGCTTTAAAGTTAATCTTTGATCCATAACACAGAGAAGACAAGAGGTAGGGATAGATGGGTAGGAGTTTTCAAATTAATGGCCTATCAATGAGAAATGCTAGAAGTGCTACTAGAGGGAGCACAGCTGTTACTAGTGGTTGCTTATCAGAAAGTCAGGTCTAGAAGTCTTCTGCACTATCTCTGCTAAGAAAGCACAGAGTTTGAAAATATGATTTTGCTGCTGAAGAGGGCTAACAAACAGGGCTTGCCTGATAGGAACTGAACCATGCCTGTTGCCTCCATAGGGCAACAATTCTGATCTCACTTCGCAGCTTGCAGAGCTGAGAGGGTAAACACACAATGACAAAAGTGAAAACAAAAAATTTCTTCCCATATTTGTGTATTAATACTAATCCCTGTATCAAAGTTCCTAACTAAGTACTATAATTCTGCATCACGGTGATGATGACTGCTCTGAAAATGAACAGTAAACAAAGTAGTGACCTGTTCACCAATCCCAATCATTTATCAGGAAGTTAGTAGCTCCAACTCTATTAATAAACATAAGAGGAGAAATTGTGCATCTTTTTTAGAACAGATAAGACATGGGAAAGTGACCCTATTTCGAAGCTACAGTACCTACCACCACATATCTGATAAATGCTCAAGGTTAGAAGCTTATCTGAGGCCGCCACTTCTTGTGGAAAAAACAAATAGATGCAGTGAAGTGCGCACATTTATGTTGTTGCTAAATTGATGTGCTAGTTTCTACAGCTATTGGTGGAGATCCATTAATGTTTATTTTCTTGTCTGAAACCCACACACCATTAAGAAGCAGCCGCTTTGGGGGCGGGGGGGGG